AAACAAAGCAATGCGCAACGCTAACACGGATGGAGGGTGGCCCCGTCTCAAAACGTTTGGGCTCCCAATTGGCACTTGCTTGAAGTGTAGGTCAATACATCTCGTCAATTCGGATACTTACAAGTGTGGGGCTGATCATCTTCAACACGGAGCTTCAGAATGCATGGCAAACGCATGAGAGCACGGAAGCAAACAATGATGTAGGGACTCGTGGAATGAGCTGAAGAAGGGAGAGGGTGTTACAGCAATGTTGATGTATCTTCGGTATGCTCTCCTCCTCCTCCTGCTTCAATCATCGCCTGCACGGGCCAACCGCAGCTCTAGAGGCACCAAGGCTGCTACGGACCCAGACATCCGACGATGAGGTTTCTGTCAATCCGCTGCCCCAAGCGCCCCGACCCCTCCCGTCCTTACCCAGGATTATGTTGCTCCCATCGTACTTAATGACCACATCCCAAAAATACTTTCGAGCACCAGGACATTTGTCGAAGGAGTGTCGGGAGAGTCTCGAAACAGTGTCGAACACGTGTCTCCCGGGGCCCGACACGTGGAAACCATAGTTTTTCTGTACTTTTTCGGTGCTCGAAACTCGTTCTGGTGATCAAGGCTCAATTAGGTTGGAACATCATAAACTCAGGAGCAACTTTTCGCCCCGGACCTGCTTTTTGTTGGCCCTGGGGCTCAATGTTAGGTCGGGCCTGTCCCCCATACAAGGGGATGTTGGACGAAAACAAACAAATACACCAAAAATGCCCTAAAGATGCCCCCAACACACTCAAAACATCGTCCCCAGATGATTTTTGGAGCATCTTTGGACCTTCCCCCTGTAGATGGGGCAGGCCCGACTTACGCTCCATGACGGGCCCCAGAGGCCGAACTCGCGGGCACACGCCTGCGGCGTGGCGGCGCCAGCCCGGTGCATCGCCCACCGACGCGCGGCGCTCGGCGGGCCAGCCGCGCGCCTCCAGCACCTCGGCGGGGGCTCCAGAGGCTGTGCGGTGGGCAGGCCGTGCGGCAGGGCTGAAGCGAGACGGCGTTCCTCGGCTTCGCTTTGCTTTCGCTTGCCCTCGCCTCTGTCTCGAATCCGCCTCTACACCGCAAAACGAGGCCGAAACGGAAACGGCCCACGAAATCACCCAAAAACACCGTCTAGGTCCAGCCCTGCCGTAAAGACCTGGCCGCACGGTCCGTCACCCTCCGGTTTTGGGGCCCTGGAGGTCCCAGTCGCCCGAGACGTCCTCGGCGAAAGACCCGAAGCCCAAGACCGTGAGGTCGCCCCGAAGCCCCACTGACTCACCACACGGTGCGGTCGCCGCACAAGCTGTGGGGAAACCAGAATGCATCGATTCCGCTACTCCCCGGACCTCGCCCGCGGTGCGTTCTGACTCGAATATCGAAGCGAATCCAGCCGTGGCGACGAGGGCCTTCCAGGAGGCCCACAAAAACGAAAACGAGCCACGGGCAGCGGCATCGGTACCCGCCAGTCCGAAGAAGTGGGTAGAAACATGAAATAGGAAGGCGTTGGAAATAGATAGGGTATCCGCCGGTTCTCGGAAGAAAAACAAATTGAACAGAAGAAGAAGAAGGAACCGGGGAAACCGCTCGATTACTGAAGCAAGACGGCGCCTGAGAGAGTAGATCAGGAACCGGGAGTCCTACACACACACCAACTTTCAACGACCGATGGGCAACCCCTCTCCTCCCGTGGCACTTCGAGTAGGGCATCCACTACATACTTGATTTAGCCGAAGTGTTCGTCGAATCTGCGATACCAGAACGCAGAATGTCCCGCACATCTACCAGCATTACACGTAACTCTCGTAACTTCTCCGAGAAAACTGATATCCTGCGGTAGATCACTTCCGTAAATCGGCAATACGTAAGAGTGACCCTGGGTAAGAGTGACCTTTGGTGCGCGGCTTTTTGGGGGCCGCGTGGGGACCAAACCTGGGCGCGCAAGCCGCTGCTCCTGCTTCGTTTTCAGCCATCTGGGGACCCATCTGTGCCCGCACTAAAGGTCACTCCGGCGAAAGGTCACTCTTACGTCTAGTCGAGTAAACCGACCCCCTATACTCCACCTCTGCGGGGCCCCGGCAGCGCCTCCCGGGTCCGCTCCACGGTCCCGAACTCGCCGGAGAGCGCCGCGCACGCCGCGGCGCCCCGCGCGCCGCCCCGCGCGCGCCCGCAGGGGGCGCCGAGGCTGCCCGGCGGCGGCCCGCAGCGGCGCCTCGCCGCCGCCGCGCGGGCGGCGCCGCGGCGCCGCAGGCTGCTCGGGGCGGCCGCTGGCAGGGCGGCGCGCTCGCCGAGGCCCAGCAGGCCGCCGAGGCACGCCGCGCCCGCGGCCAGGGCGCGCGCGCCCGGGCGGAGGGCGGCGCCGCGGGCGGGCCAGCGGGCGCGCGGGAGGGGTCTCGCCTCGGAGGCCGGCGCCAAGGTGCAGAGGCCCGTTTCGACCCTCGTGCGGCGCTCCTGCTCGCAACTGGCACGACGGCTGTACCCGTCGGTCGGAGGAGGTCAGGCAGAGCCATGCATCAGGAAGGCGACTGAATCAGATTGGGTTTCCGCCCGCCCCCTGAAGAGAAGGGGAGAGGCAAAGCCGCCCGACCCTTGACGTAAGAAGGCGGACCCGGGAGTCCAAAAGTACGTGCTTTCAAGGACCTCCTCCCTCCTCCTCCTCCTCCTCCTCCTCCTCCTCCTCCTCCTCCTCCTCCTCCTCCTCCTCCTCCTCCTCCTCGGGGCCCCAGTCGCCGCCATCCAGCGGGGCGCGCCAAGGCCGCGCTGCCCGCCACCCCCGCCGGTGGTGGGCGGCGGCCCAGCAGGGCATCGGCGCAGGCGAGCGCCCCTCCCCAGGCCGGCGCCAGCCGAGGAGGCCGCCTTGGGCCAGCGGGGGAGCAGGAGTTGGAGGAGGAGGAGGAGGAGGAGGAGGAGGAGGAGGAGGAGGAGGAGGAGGAGGAGGATGAGGAGGAGAGGAGGAGGAGGAGGAGGAGGAGGAGGAGGAGGAGGGAGGGAGGAGGAGGAGGAGGATGAGGAGGAGGAGGAGGAGGAGGAGGAGGAGGAGGAGGAGGAGGGGGAGGAGGAGGAAGAGGAGGAGGAGGGGGGGGGAGCCGCGCGCGCGCCCGCTTCCGGGCCCCTTCGCCCGCCTCGCGCGGGAGGGAGGAGGTTGTCGAGGCCCCCTGGCGTCGAGGAGCGGGAGGTCGAGAGACGGCCACGTGCACCAAGAGGTACCCTGTGCAACGGATCGCAGCAGTCCAGACCAAGAATGCAGCCGGGATTGATGCGAGATCACGACTTCGGCGGTGGACAAGCCTCCCTTTGGTAGACCTCCCCTTGGTGGAAACGGCCCGGGACCGAAACCGACGGACCTGGCCCCGCAGAAATGACGGCCGCGACGCCCTCTCGCGATTCCGAAAACGGCCAATTCCTTAAAATCGACGTGTCAGGGTAGGAGGTGTGTCCACCCCCGACGACTCCCGAACAGGTGGTGGAGGGAGGGGGTGGAGGGTGGTGGGGACGTCTTCGGCGAAGCGGCTGCCAGACTGGGCGGCCCGGGGCTCCCTGCCATCCCTGTGGGACTCTCCTGTGGTCCTTTCTCCTTTCCATTTGAACCCCTCTGGCGAAACGCTATCAATTGGCGGCGCGCACAAGGGGGTGGAGAGAGGGGGGAGGGCTTTTTAGAAGGAGGCTGCTTCTTAGAAGGGGTGCTTCTAAGAAGCCCTCCCCCCTCCCCCCGCCCCCCTCTGCGCGTGGCTGAATCAAGGGAAAACGCGGCGGGAAGCCGTTGGGCGAGTTTCCGCCTTTCAGGGCCCTCGCTGGGCCCCGGCTGTCAAGCATTATCTGGGCGAAGGACCCAACCATATGCGGGTGCGAGTGCCGCAAGACAGGTGGGGCGAAGCGGGGGCAGGTCCCTATGGGGAAACGAAGCGTGTGAGGGGTGTGCCGAAATGAGTGCGAAGTCGCCATTCGGACCCTGCCACCGGGGCCTTCCGTGGAGCACTTGTGGGGCTACGAAGCCTGTGATGGGTGTGCCGAATAGGGGCGAGACCGCCATGCGGACCCTGCCACTGGGTTTTTCTGTGGAGCTCCGTTGGGGCCACGGAGCGTGTGAGGGGTGTGCCGAACACGGGTGCGGGGCCGCCATGCGGACCCTGCTGCTGGGGCCTCTAGTGGAGCTCCCTATGTCGCCACGAAGCGTGTGAGGGGTGTGCAGAATCTGGTGCGGGACCGCCCTGCGGACCCTGCCACTGGGGCCTTCGGTGGAGCTCCCCGTGACCCGATGGGGCCACGAAGCGTGTGAGTGATGTGCCGGAATGGGCGCGGGGCCGCCATGTGATCCCAGCCGCTGTGACCGTCGCTGGAGGCCACGAAGCGTGTGAGGGGTTTGCCGAATCGAGTGCGGGGCCGCCATGCGGACCCTGCCGTTGGGGCCTTCGGTGGAGCTCCCCTATGGGGCCACGAAGCGCGCGAGTGGTGTGTCGAAACGGGGCAGGGCCACCATGCCGATCCTGCCGCTGGGGCGGGCCTTCGGTGGAGCTCCCTGTGGCGCCACGAAGCGTGTGAGGGGTGTGGCAGAATGGGTGCGAGGACACCCTACGGACCCTGCCGCTGGGGCCTTCGATGGAGCTCCCTCGGGGCCACGAGACCTGTGATGGGGTGTGCCACAGTGGGCGTTGGGCCGCCATGCGGACCCCGCTGCTGGGGCCTTCGGAGGAGCTCCCCCTCTGGGGCCACGGAGCGCGTGAGGGTCGTGTCTGAATGGCGCACGGGGATGGGAGGAGGAGAACGGGGAGGAGGAGGAGGAGGAGGAGGAGGAGGAGGAGGAGGAGGAGGAGGAGGAGGAGGAGGAGGAGGAGGAGGACGAGGAGGAGGAGGAGGAGGAGGAGGAGGAGGAGGAGGAGGAGAACGCGGGGTGCTGCCTCTTCAAACAAAGACCCAGCACCACAAGATGGTTAGGACTTAGCCAGGCGAAACACCCGACACGATGCAACTGCGAATGCTGCAAGACCGGTGAAAACTAAAGGCATGGGCTAGCAAAGTGACTAAATCGTGCGTGGGACGGAGCGACGTTGCTGATGGGGTCGCAGATGGCCGCAAGGGTCGGCCGTAACGGGCGTGTTACATCTGGATGGAACCTGCCACCGCTGATCAGCGCGTCTGTCGGCGCGGGCCCGAAGGGCAGCATGCGGCGGGGCCTTCGGTGCAGCTGCCTATGGAGCCACGAAGCGTGTGAGAAGCGTGCCGAAATGGGCGCCATCACGTATGCGAGTCCTGCCACTGGGACCTTCGGTGGAGCTCCTGTGGACGCATGTGGGAGCTCCTGGGCCTGCGAGTCCTGCCAATGGGACGCATGTGGACTGCGCCACTGGGGCCGTCTGTGGAGCTTTCTACGGGGCCACGGAACGTGTGAGGGGTGTGCCGAAATGGGCGCGGTCACGCATGCGATTCCTGGAACTGGGGCCTTTGGTGGAGCTCCTCATGGGGCCACGAAGCGTGTGAGGGGTGCGCCCAAATTAAATTGTGTGGACCAGCCATGCGAACGCAGCCGCTGGGGCCTCAGGAGGAGAGCCCTATGGGGCCACGAAACGCGTGAGTGGTGCGCCGAAATGGTATGGACCAGGTATGCGGACCCTGCCGCTGGGGCCTTTGGTGGAGCTCCCATAGGGGCCACGAAACGTGCGCGGGGTGCGCCGAAATGGACATGCTGAGGGCAGCGGCAGGTATGGGAGGAGGCGGGAGGCGAGGAGAAGACGCGGGGCGATGCGTATTCAAAACATGAGGACCCAACACCACAGGACTGCTGGGAGTCTGGCTTGTGTATTCGATGTGTTGTTTGTTTTTTCGATGGTTTTTTCTTTCGATTTAATCAGACCGTCGGTCTGGGGACCGACGGTCTGATTTGTATACAGTCGAGGCGTTGACCCAAGGAACCCTAGATGAGGAACGAGGCCCCTTTTCCCCATACGTTCAACCTCGATTTTTCCCATGGGAAAACCTCAGGAAAACCCGAGGCACACTTTGAGACAATCAAGGAACACCGAGCCCCTCCCCAACGAGCAGGGCTCCTTCCGCAGCGCCCCGACGGTATTCCATTCCGGATCTCCCGGGCCCGAGGTCGGGCCCCGGGGCCAGGAGGAGCGTATCTGGGGCGGAAGGCTGGCTCCATGGAGAGGGGGTTCGGGACCGCTGGGGCCGCGCACCCTGCCATCGCTCGGACGTCGAGTCCCCGTGCATTTTTTTCGGTTTCGCGCGTGCTCTTTTGGCTCGATGGTCAGGGATGCTGCTCGATGGCCGTCGCCGAGGAAAAAGTGCACACGTCCGAGCGATGCAAAGGCACTGAAGAAATCATGCAGGCGGGTGTCAGGGGGAGCGGGCTCGCAGCTGCGAGCCGTCTCCTCGGACGCTGCAAACTTTTCGTGGCGTCGCCCCCCTGGGGCCAGATTTTCATCCTGAATTGTTTTTTGACGGCCCTGGGGCCAGCAAGCGGCCTTCGCGTTTTTTTCTGCGACCCCAGATCTGGAGGAACAAACCACGACGCGCGGTTTGTGGCCGTTTCTGGCCAATAGGAGCCCTCAATGGGCCCCTGGACCGTTAGAAAGTGGGACGGGATGAGACGCCGGTCGCGGGGAACACGTCCAGACCTCGTGGGGTCTACTCCGAAAAAATCATGACACCCGAGGTCTTGAGAGGAGGAAGGAGAGGAAGATAACAGGAGCAGTCCGCATCGAATCGAATCAATCGATCAGACGGGATCGGAACGTGTGCCAAAACAGGCCGCATCAGCACGGAACCGAAATCGAACCAGATCTGCTGCGCCAAGATGCACGATGGCGCCACGCAAATATCGGGCCGCATGTGGTCGTCGGAACATCGGGATCGAATCGGGCTGGCCAAAATCGATATCGAACCAGATCGACCGGATCACAATATACTTTGGAGGAGGGTGGGGGGCCGCCTTTTTGGCTTGCCGAAGTCGGGGCTGATTGGGGAGGACATGGCGATCGTGGCGTCCGTGACGGCGGCGGTCAGATTTGTTTGATGTCAGTCCACATGCCGGTCCAGAAAGCGTGCCAGAGCAAGCTGCGGCCCTTTCCGATTATCCTCAAGCCTATCTTGGCCCGTGGACCACCGACCCGTGCTGATAGTAACTTCCAACTGTCGATGTTCCCCTCGCTCCCCTCCATGCCCGGGCGAGAAATAAAGGGGTGGACGTACTCAAAACAGACAGCAGACTCTGAGGGCTTGGGCTGGGGCTGGCCGCCCAATTCTAAATTTTGCATTCCAATTCTGGCAAAAGGTTGTTCGTAAATAGTCTGCAGCTTCGCACCTATGTGTGGCCAGGCCGTCCATGAACAACAACAACTTCGGGGGGGTTACGCGCTCAGGTATGTCGCTCACACACATAGACACACACAGACACACACACACAGACAACACACAGACACACACACACAGACAAACGCACAGACACACACACAGACACACACACATACACACACAGACACACACAGACACACACAGACACACACAGACACACACAGACACACACACAGACGCACACAGACACACACACACACAAACACACACAGACACAGCGACACAGAGACACAGAGACACAGGGACACAGAGACACAGACACACAGGCACACATATATACAGACACAGAGACACAGAAACACAGACACAGACACACCGACACACACAACACACAATACACACAATACACACAGTACACACAACACACAACACACACAACTCAACACACAACACACAACAAACATAACGCACAACACACAACACACACCACACAACACACACAAAACACACGCAACACACAACACACACATACACACCACACACACTACACAGCACGCAACACACGCAACACACAACACACACAACCACACACAACACACCCCGCTCAACACACAACACACAACACACAACACAACACACACAACTCACACGCAACTTACAACACACAACACACAACACACACAACCCAGACACAACCCACACACAACCCACACACAACACACAAACCACACAACACACAACACACACAACGTACACAACACACACAACCACACAACCACACCAACATACAGCCACACCCACACACCCACACACCCACACACCCACATACCCACATCCCCACACCCAGACACCCACAAACCCACACACCCACACACCCATCCACCCACCCACCCACCCACGCACCCACGCCCCCCCACACCCACACACCCACACACCCACACACCCACACACCCACACACCCACACACCACACCCACACACCCACACACCCACAACACACCCACACACACCACACACCCACACTCCCACACACACACACCCACACCCCCACAACCCCACACCCCCACACCCACACACCCACACACCCACACACCCACACACCCACTCACCCCACACACGCACTCATCCACACACCCACACACCCATACACCACACGCCCACACGCCCACACACGCCCACACACCCACGCACCCACACACCCTCGCAACCACACAAACACACGCACAAGCGCACACAAACACACACAAACACACGCCCACCCTCCCACCCACCCACCCACCCACCCACCCACACACACACACACATACGCGCGCACGCGCGAACAAGCATCGCCTCTGTCGACAACTTCTTCTGTCACACCATCTCCAGCGTCCCCCTCCAAATCGTGAGCACTTGAACGAAATGCTGCTGGTCAAATATTTTCGGGTAGTGCATTGTGCATCCGTTCGACATGTAGCCCGCATTTGCACTCGGACCAGGGATCTAATATTTCGCTGCGGTCTCTCCGCAACGTCCTCGCTGGGCATACTAATAGGGACGTCAACGTCGCTGTCCTAAGCGCATGCACGGTTTCGGGGTGCATGGCAAAACCACGTGACTCCCAGAGAAAATCAGATGCTTGCCCGTGGCGTAACATCCCTGCCCCACTAGAGGCAAAATACATGCATCGATTTGGAACTTGGCCATCCATTGCCCATTTTCAGCTGGACCCATCGTGAAAGTGACGAGCAAACGCAACTAATTCCACGCGCCGAGATGGGGAAGCGCAAATGTCGTTTCAGGCATGACAGTTGTTGTCACTCGAATGCTCATGTTTTTCTGATGCGGTGCAGAAGTTGTGGATTTTCATGCGTTTTCCACCAGAAGACAATGAAGCAACGATGTCGCATCTCTAGTGTGCAATGCCTTGTGGCTTCACACTCGAATTCGATTCGTGAGCAGTTCTGGCTCTCTGGAGAACAGCCTGGAGAACACGTGAGTAATCACTGCTACGGTGAGGACTGTTCTCCTCAGACTGCCGCAGTGGACAAACAAAGGGTACGAAGAACAAGAGGGCGCCTGAGACATGTGAGCCTCGCTCACTGCGCGGAAGCCGCGCGCTTCAGCTGCCCGAATCCGGAGAACGAATGCGACAACTCTCGGACCATCCAGCGCACACCGGAATGGCTCTCGACGAGCACGCTGTCGTCAGCGGCGTCCCTGCGCAATTGCCGGGCGACGCCGTCCAGCAGCAGATGGTCGTCCGTCCTGGCGCCAGGGCCGTCGAAATTGAATCCGTGCAAGACGCGCAACACACCAGGGGCCTCCACGCGGCCCACCTCCGCTTCACACCCGTGCACTGCTGCCGGGATGTCCATGCCCCAGGCCTCGGTGTAATTCTGCACCGCGTGCGCGAGGGACCTGCACGCCACGTCCGAGAGGGCCTCGTCAGCGCGCCGTCCCACCACCCGGGCAAACCACGTGCCCATCACAATCCAGAGCCCGCGGCGGCCCCTCGGGCAGTCCAGCAGCTCCAGAACGGCGGCAGAGTACCCGGCGGGGCACCCCGGCTCCGCAGGCTGCCAACTTTCGGTGCAGTTCTCCGCCGGATCCAGCCCGGAGAGCAGCGCCTCGGACAAGCCTCGACCCTGCCCGCCGCCCTGTCTCACCCGCACCACCTGGGGCCTGCCGCTCGAGGGGTGCATGCGCGCCCAGTCGTGCCTCACAACGACCTCGCCGCTGCCCTCGTGCACGCGCACCGAGCCCGCTGAGGCCCGCTGCGCCGCGAGCAGCTGCGCCAGAAGCTCCATGTCCTGGGCCTTGTCGACGTCCAGGGAGGCCACGTCCAGCCCGAAGCTTGGCACCCGGACGTCCGCGTAGAGGCCGCACCGCGCCTGCAGCCTCAGGGCCAGCCGCGTGGCGCCGCCCTCCGCGCAGCTCAGCAGCCACGCGCCCACGAGGCCGTCGGGCAGCCTCGCGCCCGCGGAGCTTGCCGCCGGCTCGGGGGGCACCTCGAGCGCGCCGTCCAGCTGCAGCGGCAGCGCCAGCAGTGCCTGCAGGCCGCGGACGACGTGCCCGGACCTGATCAGGGCGTCGGCCGCCCTGCGCAGGTCGCGGGGCTCCGCGACCTCGACGGCCAGCTTGCCCACGTCGCCGTCGAGCCGCACCTCGCCGCGGACGCCCTCGAAGGCCAGGGCGCACCGCACGCACGTGACGGCCAACGCGTGCCTCTCGTGCCAGCCCTCGGGGACGGGGGCCAGGAGGCGCGTGTCGTGGTGGATGCGGAAGACCAGCGAGGGCTTGTGGAGGTCATCTGCCAGGGTGTACGCCACGTCCTCTGCCACGTAGTTCACCACCAGGCCCCTTCGCCGGCCAGGCGTCATGTTGCTGGGCGCGTAGTGGATGGTGAGGGCGGAGTGCACGACCACGTCGCCGGGGCTCAGGCACCCAACCTCCGACAACCCCTCCTCGTCCTCGTCGGTGAAGTCGTATATGCTCTTCACGAAGCCAGCTGGGCCCCAGTCCCACTCGTGGAAGCGCCTGCCCTTGAGGTGACTGCCGCGGACGAAGCGCACCGTGCCAGCATCGCGATCGACTTCGTCCAGGTTGATCCACAGCGCCACGCCAGGTTCCTTGGCCCCGAAGTAGAAATTGTCCTGGTGCGGGGGTGTCGTCGTGGAGGAATTACCATTCGGCGGCTTGTCGAACAACTCTGTGTTGATCACAGGCCTCACCTAGTCGGCTGGGTCGCGAGAAGACTGGGAGGATTAGTAGGAGCATAAGGATGACCAGGAAGGGGGCGAAAGAAGAGCATTGACGAGGGATGAGGCTGGGCATTAGTGCCATGCTCCCAACCAGGCATTGGTGCCACGCTTCTCACTTTTGAAAGAAGACGCGCCCTGCCGAAACGATGGCGCGCTCAACTCCCTGCAGGCCCGGAACTTCCAACTCCTCCCACCCCCCCAACAACTGCGCTGACACCCGATCTGGTCGCCTGCGCTACTCGAGCAAATCGGCATGGCTGGCGTGAGTGCACTCACTGACAAAGTCGGCGGGGAAGACATTATCCTCCCTCCCACCCATTGAGAAGGGACCGACCGTCCCGGCATTCCTATAGGCCTACCACGACATGTTCTAAAGAACCAAAGCAGGTTCTAATAACGAATGCAATGTTCTTAGAACAGAAACCCGATGTGTTACGTTAAAGCAAGACAGTCCCAGCCAGACATGTTCCAAGAACACTTCGTGGAAACCACAGGAAGGGTTCTTAGAACATTGTTTGGTGGGCCTGTAGGCACGCAAGACACTTCGCCACTGCTTGAACCCTCGCTCCCCCCTCCCTCCCGTCTCCGTCCCCCGCCCCTCCGGCTCGAGGCCCCAGGCCCGCGCTGGAGACCTCCGACGCTCGAACACGCCAGTCCAACGCACATCCCTGGCGGTGGTGCTTCTCTCGCCATCGCTCGGACGTCCATTCCCTTTGCTTTTTTTCAGTTTCGTGCGTGGTTTTCCGCCAAATGATCCAGGATGCTCCTCGATGGTCCTCGCCGAAGGAAAAATGCACACGTCCGAGCGATGCCAGGTTCTGCGCCTTCCAGATCCCCGCGAGACCCTGGGGGAGGAGGGTGCCCCCCCAAAGCCTCCGCGCGTCCGCTCCGATCCCGACTCTCGGGGAAGGGTGCTTGCAGCACGCAGTCGCACGCCCTGCGCGCTTCTTGGGCGACCGGCTGCTCGCCCAGGCACTCGAGCCTTGCTGCACGGTGCATGCTGGTATCGCAGATCTGCGCACCAGCCCTCTGGGCCAAGGCAGTCTATCGTATCAATCTGTCCAATCCTGCTGGGGTATAGGGATCCAGAGGGCTCCACAGGACTCCAAGCTCCACTGCTCCATGCTACACATCTTCTCTTCCCGGGTCGTCTCCTGGCGGCCTTGGCCCAGAGACGGCCCCTGGAGCTTAATGAATAAAGCAACAGAACCTCAGACAAGACATTTTCGGATCTCTGGACCCCCTCCTCCGACCCTGCGGTCTTCCGTGACGTCGGCCCCGGGGCGTCGACCACCTCCCAGGGTCCGGATGTTCATCCTGACCAGTTTTGTGGAAGGTTCTGGGGCTTCGGGGGCGGCCAAGAGGGGGGCGTCCAAGAGGGGGGGGCGCAAATCATGGCCGGCGGCATGTGCGCGGCCCAGGGGGAGGGGCAGGGACGCAATGGAATAAGAAAGAGGCGCCATGGCATCTGAGGAACTATCATGGCCCACGCCATGATATCCCCCCCCCCAGTCACCACCCCCCTCTTTGCCGCCCTCGAGGCTTGGCAGCGGCCCGCAGCTGCCGAAGGCGGGGACGCAACGCTGGCCGCCGCGCCGCTGCGCCGCCCACGTCCGAAGCGAGGCCCGCGGGCGGCGGCCCAGCGTCCCCCTCCATAGGCGCTGGGCCGGCGGTGCCCGGGGCCGCCTGCGGCTGAACGGGGGGGGGACTGGTTGAGCTGGAAGCGGCGATGCATCGCCGCTCGATCGGCGACGTGAGCATCGTTGAAACGACCACCCGCCCCCAGCGGCGTGGCCTGGTCCCCACTGGCCGGTCTACCCCCCAAGATGCGGCTACAGGCCGTTCCCTTCGGGTCTCGAGGAGTGCATCCCCAACTGGGGTGGCAACTTGGTGGGGGTCTCGAAGGGGATGGGGATGGGGATGGGGATCGGATAAACGATACTGACGATAGGCTCCCGATAGCGAGACCGCGCGTTCTTGGGCTTGGTGGGCCATCGGGCAACTGTCGGCGACCCACGGCTGCGTCCCAGACCTGGGTCCATCATCCCCCCCCGACGTTTCCCCTGACTTGCCGCTCCCTGGCTCTTGGGCCATATCGAGACGATTCTGGCACCCCCGGTAGGCCCTCGACGAGGCGCAACCGATGAACACCACCCCCGGGCTTGGAGAGTACCGACAACTCCCGAACACTTTCGAAAACCTCCCTGAGCTCCGCCTCCTCCTCCTCCGCCTCCTCCTCCTCCTCTTCCTCCTCCTCCTCCTACTCCCTACTCCCAGATATCTTCCGACATGTTTCTTTCAATGCGCGGCTCCAACGGTCCCGACCGCTTCCCCGAGCCTCCTCACTTCCCCCCCCCCCCCGCGGGCGCCGACTCCTCCCAACGTTCCTCCTGAGCGTCCTGACGCTTCGGGGCCCTCCAGATCAGGGCCAATGCAAACCCGGGCCAGTCAGGCCTTGTAGGATCCTGCAGGATCCTGCACCCAAGCCCGGGTCAATGCACCCCTGGCTCTACAAGATCCTGCAAGACCCGGCGCTCTGACTGACCCCCGCTTGCGTGAACTCCGTCTCTTGGGCCCCGATTCCCTCCGCGCCCGCGCCCCCCCTGGCGAGTCTCCTCGGCGCCCCCCCTCGAACCCCATCGCGCCTCCTCGCCGACCATCCCCTCGACACCATTCGCCCCCCCCGGCGGCGTTTCCTCCGCCTCTCCTCGGCGCCCGCTCCCTCGCCCTCCGTCTCCTCGATCCCCTCGGCCCCCTTCTTGGCGGCGAGCGAGGGGGAGAAGTGAGAAGGAGAAGGCAGTCTCAGAGGGCGGCGGGACTTCTCAGAAGCCCTCGCGCCCTCTGAGAAGTTTCCTCTGCCTTCGGGGAAGGCTTGCGAAGCTTCTGAGAAGGCTTGGGGACTTCCGAGCCTTCTGAGGAGGCCAGCCCCTTCTCCCTTCTCCCCCCGCGCTCGCCGCCTACCCTCGGTCCCCGTCCCTCGAGCCCCGACGGTTGCCCCTCAGATCGGAGCCAGGCGCGGCGGGCCGCGCGCGCGCGGCGGTGGCGCCCCGCTCGCCCTCTTGCCGCCGAGGCAGGCCGAGGCGACCTCCAGCAGCCTGGCAGGCGGGGGGGGCAGGAAGAGGGCGAGAAGGCACCCACGGGCTTGGCCAGTCTCTTCCTCCTCCTCCTCCTACTCCTCCTGCCTCCCTCCTCCCTCCTCCTCATCCTTCCTCCCTCCTCCCTCCCCCCTCCTGAGGAGGGCATTCTGGGAGGCGCCCTGACAAGGTGCTGCAGCGGTGCAAACAGGCACCGCAGAGCTCGGACAAGGCTCCACGGTGGCAGGCTGAGAGTTGAAGCACTGAATCAGGCCTTCAATGTTCACTCTGCCGCCTTCACATCGCAGCTCGTACTTGGGCTGAACGCCCTTGCAAACGTAATCCTGCCCACCTTTGCCAACTCGGGTCGGAACAAGGGCGCACTTAGCAGCAAGACCACGAATCCGGCCTCCACTGCTGTAGCATTTACACTTACTGCATGTGAAGAGAACCGAACTGTCCGAGCTGGGAAGCGATGGTGCGATGTTCGAGCTCGTCCTGATGAGCAGCGTGAGCGACAGAATCCCTGGAACACGCACCTTTGGTAGGCTGAGCGGGGACACGGCTGCCACGCAAGCAGTGAACACAGCGCCGGATACCTCCCAGCGTTGCCACTCGTGACCGACAGAAGCGGCTGCGGCAACACGTTGATCTTTCTCCCTCTCAGCCGCGGACAAATAAATGTCGGGCCAGAGGTGCAACATGTGCCGCCACACGCAAGATCGCATGCAAACTGGACAAGGCGATCCGCGTCGTCCAAACAATTCGAGCTGGAAGGATGAAGCGACGTGGCCGATTTCGCCGATACATCAGCGTGCAGATTGCCCTGCCTGCGCCAACGCGCCTCAACATCGACACCAACTTTGCCCACGTCACGGTGGGCTGAACGTTTTAAAGACGACTCAGGAGGGCCCTTCCTTGACCGTGCTCCTTAAAGGCGCCCAGGCAACCCTTTTTGCCCGAAAGCTGCTCAACTTTCAGGCGACTGGTTTGTTTCGCAACATTGCTGCAATCAGAGCTGAGCACCGAGGCCGAGGTGACGCAGTTGAACTCAGCTGGCTGAGGAGTCTGGGGATACGGAGCCCACATGGAAACGCGAAACTCAGCAACCACATCACCAACATTGTCAAGCTAGACGACGCTACAGGCAACCAACAACAACTCCCTAAGAGGGGGCCCAGTGAAACTGCAGTCAACGAAAATTGAGCCACAAAGCTCGGTTCCAGGAACATGCCCCGAAGGGTGCAAAATGTCTTTTCAGTGGCACACAACGAAAAAGCATCATCCAACTCGGCCATGGGCCTGGGATAAGAGTCGGCGGGATAGCGGAATGCCCCAAAGACGAAAAAGACAATCTCGCTGCTATCCTCCGATCCCTTAGCTTGCAAAACAGCCGCGACCGGATCTAAGCTGGCGACCTCTGAGCGAAGGGCGACGACAGGCTCGTGGGTGCACTCCCAGAGCCTGCGGAAGATGGCGCCGAGCGATCCGCAGAGAAGAAACAAAACATCGGCCAACTATCCCTTGCACTGGGCACTGTGGCCCGTGACAACAAAAACTTCGTGGCGAAGGCCCTGATGTGGGCCTTCTGCAAAGACGTTTATTTCTTGCTATGAAGGGCTTCGCGAAAGATGTCATGGCAGAGCCTAGGGAGGGCGCCCCGCTTCTCCCCTAAGTCCCTCTCTAGCATCCTGATATACCCTTCCCTGACCAACACTTTCACCAAAACGGGCGACACATACAAGGCGGAATAGAATGACCACGGCCACCTCGCAACACCATGAAGTTATCCGCTTGTCACCCCAATTTGACTAGACTCATCCTTAACGCCGAGACAGGGTCAGCAACTTTCCTCCAGGAACAGGACGCTTGCGAACATAGCCTGAAGAAGGACCCAACCTTATACAATTGTGAGTACCGTCGTTGTGAGCAAAGTCTTCGGTAGATCTCATTATGGGGCCACGAAGCACTTAAAGGGTGTGCCGACATGTGGTGGTACCACCATGCTGGCGCTGCCACTGGGGCCTTCGAGCATCGCGAGGAAAATGACATGGTCGCGGGGGAAATGACATGGAGGAGAGGGGCCAGCAATGAGGGCCACTGGGGCCTTCGGTGGAGCTCCCTATGGGGCCGCGGACTGTGTGAGAGCTGCGCCAAGATGGCAAATGGGACCGCATGCGGGCGTTGCCACTGTAGCCTTGGCTGGAGCTCCCTATGGCATAGCCGTGTGGGGCCACGGAGCGTGTGAAGGGGTCGCCGAAATCATAGGTGGAACCCCATGCGGGCGCCGCGACTGGGGCCTGAGGTGGGGCCCCCTTTTGGGGTCATGAAGCGTGTGAAGGGTGCACCGAAATGGTGTAACCGCATGCGGGCGCTGCCGCTGGGGCCTTCGGTGGGGCTCTCTGTGGCCCGCGAAGCATGTGAGTGGCGTGCCGAAATGGAACGTGGAACTGCGTGCGGACGCTGCTGCTTCGGCCTTCGGTGGAACTCCCTAGGGGGCTACGAAGCGTGGGAGCGGTGCACTGAAATCCCAGGACGAACCGAATGCGGGCGCTGCCACTGGGGCCTTCGGTGGGGTCCTCATGTGGCCACAAAACGTGAAAGGGGTGCGCCGGAATCAAGATGGAATCGCATGCGGGCGCTGCCAGTGGGGCCTTCGGTGGAGCTCTCTCTGGGGCCTTCGGTGGAGCTCCCTACGAGGCCGCGACGCGTCCAAAGGGCGCACCGAAAATGGACGGTGGAACAGCGTGCGGGCGCTGCCTCTGGGGCCTTCGGTGGAGCTCTCTATGAGGCCACGAAGCGTGTGAGGGCGCACCAAAACAGGGGTGAACTCCATGCGGGCGCTGCCTCTGGAGCCTTCGGTGGAGCTCCCTATGTGGCCACAAAAAGTGTGAGGGGTGCGCCGAAATGAAGGTGGAACCGCATGTGGGCGCTGCCAGTGGGGCCTTCGGTGAAGCTCTCTGTAGTGGGGCCACGAAACGTGTGAGGATAGTGTCGGAATGCGGTGGAACTGCATGTGGGCGCTGCAACTGGGGCCTTCGGTGGAGCTCCGTATGGGGCCACGAAGCGTTCAAAGGGCGCACCGAAAATGGACGGTGGAACAGCGTGCGGGCGCTGCCACTGGGTCCTTCGGTAAAGCTCTCTTGGGGCCGCGAAGCGTGTGATGGGTGGATGGGTGTGCCGGAAGATGAAACTGCATGCGGACGCTGCAAGTGGGGCCTTCGGTGGGGCTTCCTACTATGAGCCCACGAGACGTGGGAAAGACTTACCGAAATGGAACGTGGAACCGCATGTGGGCGCTGCAACTGGGGCCCTCGGTGGAGCTCCCTATGGGGCTACGAAGCGTGCGAAAGGCGTGCCAAAATGGGACGTGGAACTGCATGTGGGCGCTGCCACTGGGGCCCTCTGTGGAACTCCCTAAGGGCCGCGAAGCGTGTGAATGATGTGCCGAAGTCGAATGCGGAACTGCATGCGGGCGTTGCCACTGGGGCCTTCGGTGGAGCTCCCTCTTGGGCTACGAAGCGTGTGAGAGATGCACCGTCGTGGAAAATGGAACCGCGTGCCAGCGCTGCCACAGGGGCCTTCGTCGGAGCTCCCTATGAGGCCACGAAGCGTGTGACGGACGTACCGAAATGGGGGCGGGCGCTGCCATTGGGGCCTTCGGTTGAACTTTCTATGGGGCCACGAAGCGTGTGAGGACTGTGCGGACATGGTTGACTGGTGCGGAGGGCAGAATCAGGGATTGGAGGATGGGGAAGAGGGGGCAGCGGGAACAGGAACGCGGGGCGCTGTCTCTAAACAGCGAAGACCCAACACCACAGGATGGATGGGAAAAAACACCATGCCAATTCTGGAGAATCGGTGAACTTGAGAACCCATTGGAAAACTTCCGTCTGCCTTTACCAAATCTCTTGGGCCAGCGCGCTATCGGAGCAGTCGCCGCGTGCTGGGAGGGATCAACATCTACAGAAGCCGACGTGGTCAGGGACCTGAGCTTCGAGGTTGGTCTCGCGACCGACAAAAGCTCTCTTGGTCTCGCGACCGACAAAGGCTCTCCTGCGCAAGCGCAGCATATCCCAATCGCCGATATCCGCGATACCAAAGCCATGCGAAACGACAAATAATCCAGCGAAGGACCATACCATTTACAGTTGTGAATGCCGCGGTCGTGGGTATCATCTTCGGCGGAGGTCTTTATTGAGGTACGAAGCGAAGGCGACACGACGGCGCTGCCACTGGGGCCTTCGGTGGAGTTTTCGATTGGGTCTTCGGCGGGACTTCCTCTGCCTGTGATCTGTTCGATGGGGCTGGCATGAGAAAAACTGGGCCGTCCAAGATGGTCCTTCCATTGTTTTTCTCGCTGTTTGCCCGTCTGCTCCAAAACCCAACGCTGGGCCAGGAAGGGCTGGGTGGCTGGCAGATACCGAGCAAGGCTCTGGCCGTTGGGCAGAGCGACGACGGGCCAGCGAGGCGTTGGGCAGAGCGCAGCACAGAGTTCCCGCGACGCGCGCTGGTCGCCCTGAGAGGAGTCCAGCGACGCGCGCGGGTCGCCCGCGGCGCGAGGCCAAACGAATGGACAATCGAGAGAAGGCGCTGCTCGGGCGGACCAGCTCCCCGGGTCAGGCCTCACGGATCAACTCGGTGAAGCCGTCGCCTCCCTCCTGCACCGCTTCGTGCGCCCCGCAAGCCCCCCGGCGGCCTGGGGCCTTCGGCCTGGCCCCCGACGGGGCCGCGAGCCGCGTGGGGTGTGTGCCGACGTGAACACGCGGCGGGCGGGGTGGGCGCACGTGGACACTGCCACTGCTGGGGCCTTCGGTGGATCTCCTTACGGGGCCACGAACAACGTGGAGGGCGCGCCGAAATAGGCACGCAGTTGGGGGGGCGCATGTGGGCGCTGCCCATGGGGCCTTCGGTGGAGCTCCGCATGGAGCCACGAGCATGTGAATGGCGCGCCGACGTGGGCACGCGGTGGGCGGGAAGGGCGCATGTGGACGCTGCCGCTGGGGCTTTCGGCAGAGCTC